TGTTTTTTGTGTATAAATTAATAGTTAATTAATTATTATTATTATTATTTAGTCACCACTTCTTCTTCATGTTGTTTGTTATTGTTTGCGGCGATGAATACACACAACAACAACAACAACAACAATACCACCGATGGATCAGTTTCTTCTGTGACACCAATATTGAAGACACAACAACAACAGGAAGAAGTAGACGACGAAACCAAAGAAACAAAAGTTAAAATTGAAATCAAAAATGAAATCAAAACAGAAGATGAAGTCAAAGACGAAGTCAAAGATGAAGACATTGATGAAGACATAGATGAAGACAAAGATAAAGAAGATAAAGAAGAATCTCATGTCGACTACGAGTTTGTTATCGATATCGACGACAACAACGATGACGACAACAATGACAACAACAATGACGAAGAAATATCCGATAAATTGTTAATCTCTTGTATGGATTCAGTCGAAAAAAATCATCGAAAAGTAACGTTTGTCCGATTGTTTGTCAAATATAAGAGTTTTATAGCAAACTCGATGCCAAACAATGAACTGAAGATTGCATTTCAATCAATACTGGACAGCGCTGTCCAACGAAAAGTCGTTGAACGACTGGTCAACGAATCGGATCCGTCAGATGTAACCTATAGGCAGGCGATGATGACGCCGAAGATGACGGCGACGGGTGACCAAAGAAAACGAAAACAAACGCTAACAGTTAGAAGTGATTTTAGTGATGGCGTCGACGGCGGCGGCGGCGTCGGCGGTAGTGATGGCCAACAAACCGGTGATATTATAGGCGACGACAACAAGAAGGACGTTAAACGTCCGAAACTATTATGTGATAACACAAGTATCGACAGTGAATCTATGGTTTCATCTAATAATAATAATAATAATAATAATAATAATGATAGTAATGGGCGGACAAAGATGATTACCACCGATGATAATACCGATGATGACCTGAACAGTGATCTAAGCAAACATCTATACTCAATGCAATCGATAGTCAACGACGACCATATGTGGGATATTAGTGCCGATAATTATGGTTATACTACTACTACTACTACTAATAATAATAATAATAATAATAATAAGAGCTTATCATTGAAGAAGTCATCGACCATTTCATTATCATCATCAGCGACAACAACACCATTATTAGCTAAATCATTGTCATCACAATCATCAACAACATCATCGTCATTGTCATCGTCATCATCATCATCATCATCATCAGCGACAACCAGATCATCACCCATAAGTAAATTACAGCACAAATATAAAATTCAGCGACAATTATGCCACACGAAGAAGTTGGCGGCGGCGGCGGCGTCGGCAGCGGTGACGACGGGAAAAGCTGTCGTCAACAACAACAACAAGAGTAGTAGTGGTGGTAAAGACAGTAGCAATAATAGGCTCAATAATAAGCACAAGAATCTCAATGCAAAACAACAACAACAACGTAAGCCGCGTGTCAGCGGCGGCGGCGGCGGCGGAACCGCTGGTAAAAAGCCACAAATCAACGACGACTATCGCCATTGGGTTTGCGAAACACTGCCCCGTCGGACGCCGTTTATCGGCCAAATTGGCGATCGAGTTGTCTATATGATGGACGCCCATCAAGTCTACATGAAATTTCCGTTTATGGACCTACAGGACGAGTACAGGCTATTCAAGTGTTCGCTGGACGACATTCGCCGATCGGTACCCGAGGCGGCCATTATTGGCGAAATTCATGCCCGAATCCTTGGGATCAAGTTCCTACAAAAACATAACATACAGTTTACGCTCATTCAATTGGAAACAGTCGACTATTTGAACACTGGTAGCCATCAACAGTTTACCGTACTCTATAGGCCGATGGCCGGTATCTATGATTTCTTGGTATTAGAAAAATTTCATTCAGATTGTCAACTAATGAAGTCGTGGTCAGCGGGTAATGAATTTAAGACAATATTTCGTAAGTCTAACGGTACGTATAGCTGGTGGTTTGGTCGGGTAGTACAGTGTCCCAGTATTTTCGACCAGAATTATCCCCAGTCGGCCTACAATTCGGTTAGAGTTCGGTTCAACTATGGCGACGAAGACAATCTGAGTCCGTGGGATATCTATGATGTGGGCGACCAGGAGCGGGACCGATCAATAAAGTACGGACTGCCGGTCAAACGTCAGCACTTGTTGGACACAAACTATAGGCCGTATTTGCGTGAATGGCCAGAAGTCGATGGCGTAGATCTACCGCTGTGGAGGTATCACGAATGTAGGCGTATCTACAAGACATTGTCGGCCATTGATAGCCGTATCGACGCGAAATTGGTCAACAGTTTGCAGGACTACTATCAAGCCCTACCCTATTTCGCTTATCCGATAACACCCGCTATTATTAGGGAACGTCTAAACAATATGTTTTACAGGCGTAAGGAAGCCATTGGTTACGATTTGAAACTAATGCGCGACAATTGTCGACTGTTTACCCACGCAACCGATGATTGGCGCAAATTGTTGGACCAGTTGTGCCAACTATACCTGGATGTGATTACGGATACCCGAGCCACTGATGAAAACTGCGATGAATATGTCGGTAAATATGAACAATTGCCACGGCGTAGCCAATCGGAAATCAGTGAGGAGGCGGCGGTAGCAGCGGCGGCGGCCATTGATATTGAATATATACGCGGAGACGGACCACCAGTGTTACCGAGTTGTGGTGTCGGCGGCGGCGGCGGTAATAGTAGTAGTTGTGAATCAAAGAAATTGAAATCAAAGAAAAACAAATCGAAACAAACGGTTAGTTAGTTTCTCTAACTCTCTCTCTCTCTCTTTCTTTCATCTCTCTCTCTCTCTCTCTCTCTCTCTCTCTCTCTCTCTCTATTCTCTCTCTTTCTATTAATTAGAAACCGCGTCCGAAACAGTCATCAGTCGGTGGCGGCGGCGGCGGTAATAGTATTAGTTGTGAATCAAAGAAATTGAAATCAAAGAAAAACAAATCGAAACAAACGGTTAGTTAGTTTCTCTAACTCTCTCTCTCTCTTTCTTTCATCTCTCTCTCTCTCATCTCTCTCTCATCTCTCTCTCTCTCTCTCTCTCTCTCTCTCTCTCTCTCTCTCTCTCTCATCTCTCTCTCATCTCTCTCTCTCTTTCTCTCTCTCTCTCTCTCTCTCTCTCTCTCTCTCTCTCTCTCTATTCTCTCTCTTTCTATTGATTAGAAACCGCGTCCGAGACAGTCATCAGGCGGTGGCGGCGGCGGCAGTAGCGTTGATATACCACTGGAACGTACGGATCGGACAGATAGTAAAAAATGGAAACAGGATTCGCAAAAATTTATCGACGAAATGCTCAAAAAAGACGATACCCTACCGTTTCGACAGCCGGTCGATACCAACGAATTTCCCCAATATTTAACAGTCATTCATAATCCCATTGATTTGAGTACTATTCAGAAGAAACTAGACTCAGATATCTATATGAATCCGAAAGATATGCGCCAAGATTTACGACTAATGTACGAAAATGCTCGGGTATTCAACAAGAATCCCAGATCCCGGATCCGATTGATTACCAAAGAACTGGCCAAATGGTCGGAAACAAAACTGCGCGAAATAATTGTCGACTGGGATCGGGTCTACGCTTACGAACGTAAACTGAAATCCAAACAGTCGGCGACGTCGACTGGATTGTCGACCATTAGGGTTCGGGAGCCGATAGCCCGACAAGATTTATGGGGTTTTAAGGACGACCAGTATTTTTGAGGGGAAAACAAAAGGAGATATTATTATTGTTTTAAAAAACAAAATTTCAAACAAACAAAAAATATCTGATAATTAATTTTTGTCCATAAATTCAATTTGTTTTTATAGATATTTTTCATTATTATTATTATTTGAAAAAAATTTTTTTTTTGTTCATAACTTTAAGTACACATTCATAGTATTAGTAATAATGTTTTTTTTCGCCACCAAAAAAATGAATCTAAAAAAACCAAATAATAAATTATTGATATTTTTTACATTTATTTTTTTGTTGTTGTTGTAAATATATATATACATATAGATAGATAGATAGTATAGATATAGTTATTATAACTTATTATAGTAGATATTATTAAAATTTAATTACAATTACATTTGATTTTTTTTATTTACAGTGTGTGAGTGTGTGTGTGTGATATTTACCTGTATATATATACAGGTAGTTATATATATATATATTTGTATATAACTATATATATAATAGCTTTATTTGATGACATTGTTTTTTTTCTCTGTAATATTTAACCCCAAAAAACAAATATTTTTGTTAAAATTTAATCCAAAAAAAATTGCACAAAAATTTCATATTATTATTATTATTGAATTATAGATATATTAAATGATTCGCTTTTAACAACAAAACAAATAATAATTATAATTAAAATAATAATTTCTACTTAATTTAATAATTTATTGTATAAAAAAAACTAATTAAAACTAACTTAATATTTATCGACAACAATAAAATTGTTTTAAAATAAATGATTATAAAATAAAAAATTTGTAATAATAATAATTATCATAATTTTTTTTGTTACATTAATTTTATCAATAGTTTATAATATAATTTAAACTTAAAATTGGTATAATTATTATTAGATTAAAAAAATACAAATATATCAATAATTTTAAAAAATGCTCTTGATCATTAATGAATTTAGATTATTATTATTATTAACTTAACTTAATAAGTAGTTATTAATTATTGATAACAAAAAATATATAATAAATTTTTTTTGTTTGATATAAATATTGCAATAATTGCATAAAAAACACATATAAATTTTAATAAAAATATATATATAAACTTATTTTTAAAAAATTTTTATATAACGGATATTTAGATTATATTTATTGATAAATAATTTTTCTAAAAAATAGCAAAAAATACTATTAATATAAAAAATTTTATCAAAAATTTAAAAAATATATACAGTATATATAAGTTTTAATATGTTTTAAAATTGTAATTATGAATAATAATAATAATAATAATAAATTATTTTAAATAAAATATAATTATTTTTTCTTAAACATCAATATTATATTGAGATTAAAAAAATTGCTGAACCATTGGTGACATTGTTTTATTTATTTTATATTTATTAATAATAATAATAATAATTTTTAATTACTAATAAAAAATATTTACAGATCATTCAACAACAACAAAAATAAAACATTTTTAAACAGTTATATTACACACACAAACAGTTAATAACTTTGAAAAACACTTAACAAATATTTATACTAATAGTTATTAAGAAAAAAAAAACTTTTTAAAAAATATTTTAGCATTGAATATAAATACTATATATTAATAATAATCTGATTTAAAAAAAAAATAAAAATAAAATTTAAACTTTAATTTCTAACATTAATTAATTACTATATATCATATCATATGATTCTTAAATATGACAACAAGTTATTATTATTATTTTATTGAAAATTACTATCAATTTAAACTAATATTACTTTTTTTATATATATATAATCTTATCAATAGTCAGTATCAACACTATTAATAATATACAGTCTAATAATATATAATATATATTGTATTAAAATAAGTGTTACATTTTATTTATGAAATATACTGTATATATATATATATAAATAATTTATGTTTATTTAGGGGAGTTAACCATCATTAATTTTAGTCATTAATAATATATAAAATGATAAATTAAAATATCATATTATATATAGTATAATGCATACATATACTATATACTATATATATACTATATATATATATATATAAAGTTATTTAATGTTGTTTTTTATGTGTATGTAATATAAACGTGTTTTTTTGGATTTTAATTTGAAATATCACTCTTTAAAAAAAATGTGTGATTCATAGAGTAATTTATTTATATATATATATTTAAAAAATTTTTAAATAAATATTTTCATTAACAGTCAACTTTATCTTTTTATATTTTATTTTTGTTTGTTGTTGAAAAATGTATAAACATTTAGTATAGGAATATAATTTAAATATTTTATTAGTTTGAAAAAAAACATTTTGTTGTAGTGTACTGAAAATTTTAATTAGGGTAGCTTTATATAGCCTAAAGGGGAAAGGGGTGGCGATAGCCTATAGGAGTAATTGAGGATAGGGTAGGGGAACCCTTACCGTAAGGGTATATCATCATTAACAACAAACAAACAAACAAACAAAATCTAACCTACCTAAAATCTAAACCACCATAGTCTACCATTACACAGTGTGTGTGTATAATAAATATACAGTACATGTATTTACTGTATATCTATAATACAGTGTATATTGAAAGTTATTTAAATTATGTTTTTTTTATCGCAAAAAAATATATATAAAAAATATTAGTAGTGGTGATAAAACAAATTAGTTAGTAATATACACTTAATATTATTATTATACAGTATTTAATATATTCAATATTATCAGTGTCTTTATATTATTATTAGTAAGTTTTCTCAACTATACTGTATATACAGTATATATATATATATATATATATTAATATTTATATAAACTGTTTTTATTATTGTCTATGTTTACTACTACCAGTTAGTTACTATCAGTTAGCAAATAATATATATATATATATTAATAATAATAATAATACCAAAAATAAAGTGATAATATAGTTAATATAGTGCATACAATTAGTGTGTATTCAATTTATTAATATATATATATATTCAACTGATAATAATAATAATTATTATTATATATATTGAATATATAGATATATATACTGTATATATATATATTCCACATATTTATATACATTATAACTTATAATTTAGTTTTTGAGGGCGTTTTACGGATTAAACTATAGTTATTAATAAGTGTGTGTACTGTATGTATGTGTAATACAAGTATACTAATAATACATTTTATTATAAAATAATAATAATAATTTTAAAGTAATTTAATTTGTGTGTTAATTTAATTGTTAATTAGTTGTGTCGACCTAAAAAAAAAATAAAATAAAATTATAAAAATTGCAAACAATTTTTGTGTTGTTTTTTGCAAAATTATTATTATTATTTGAGAGACAATTATTATTTTTAGTAATATTTTTCACATACATATAATAATAATATATTGTATGTGTTTGTGTGTATGTGTGTGTCCTATCAATTGAATCATTAACTAACCCCATATATACTAGTAGTAGTCCATCCATCACATCCATCACATCCATGGGTGGTTTCATGGCATCGGATCCCAGTTTAATGGATATTATCCAAAGTACGGCACAGTTTGCCAAACAAAACTATTTGTGGCTTAAATCCAATTATAAGTTTCCCGACAATACACTGGACGATCTACGGGAATGTGGCCAACGTATAGCACCGGTCGACTATATAACTATTGCCCTAATGGCCATTGGCTGGACTATTGCCCGGAACGCTACCAGTAGTTACATATTTAAGGTAAGGTTAAGTTATTATTACAAAAATTTATTTTAATACCCGTTTTTTTTGGTTGGTTTTAGCCATTTGCCCGATCGTGTCGTATAAAGCGCAAGGATGTTGAGAAATTTCCGGAAAGTGCCTGGAAAAGTTCCTATTATTTATTTACATTTTTATATACCGTATATCTGCTATTTGGACAAAATTGTTGCCATTATTTTCTGGAAACCCATAATATTTGGTCAGGTATGTATATAATTAGGGGATAGGGATATAGGCTACTAAATTAACAACAACAACACAACACTTACTTAAATTATAATGCTAATAACACACACACACACACACACAATAGGGTAGATAACCTAGATAATTTTTTTTTGATAATATATATATATATATATATATATATATATATATATKTTTTTTATGACTAACCCTTTTATATATTTATTTATTTTGCTATTATTATTATTATTATTCAGATTATTCAGTGGACGATACGGTACCGACAAACATACGGTTACTCTATTTAGTGGAAATCAGTTTTTATATACACTCTATATATGCGGTACTTGTGTTGGACGAGTGGAGGAAAGACACATTAGTTATGTTCAGCCATCATATCATAACACTGACACTGTTGTCATTATCGTTGGCCACTAAGTATGGACACCCCTACCCCCCACCTCTCTATTACCCTTCACCCTATCCCAAACCCCTCATACTGGGGGGAAGGAGGGAGGGGATAAAACTTATATAAGTTATTAATACTATATTTATGTATTTATTTTATTTATTTATTTTTTTTGTGATACCAGAGCCCATAGGGTGGGTGTGATTGTGTTGCTATTGCACGACGGCTGTGATGTAGCCATGGAAGTGACCAAATGTTTGCTATTATTTAAATACAAGGGTATTGTCGGCAAATTGATTGATGGACTAACTGCTATCAGTTTTATAACATTTGTCGGCTCATGGTATGTATATATACAATATATATATATATATATATAATAATAATAATGTATATTAATATATTATCAATAATTAGTTTAGTATATATATATATATATATATATATAATATAATAAGCAAACAAATTACTAATATATTTTTAATGTTATAAAAATGAGAAGTTTTTTTTTAAAAAAAAAATGTTATTTAATTATTTTGATATATTATTTGTTGATATATTACATTAATAATAATAATCACACAATCACCCAATCAATCAATTTTAATTATTATTTCAGTTAAAAATAGTTAATTATTTTAGTTTTTTAAAATTTAGTTTTAAAAAAAATTTATAAAGTTATATATATATTTAAGAAATTAAATACATATAAATAATGTATTGTTAGTATTATTATTAATGTTTTAAAAATTATTTATCTGTCTATATCTACTATATAATAATAATAATAATTTTTTTATTAATATTTATTAATTATTTAAAAAAACAATTATTTAATTATTATTATTATTATTAATAATAATTAGGATTATCTGTCGGTTATATTGGTTTCCAATGAAAGCTATTTATACGAGTTCTGCATATTTTACTCAACAAAATACCCAAAAATTTCCGTTTATGTTAGTATTGTATACAATGCTATGGGTTATACTGGCAATGGATGTCTACTGGTTTATCGTATGTTTTATTTTATTTATTTATTTTTTTGTATTATAAAATTAATTAACTAATTATTAACTAATACTAATATATATATATATTATATATAGTTTATCATCAAATTATCGGTGAATGTTATAACTGGTAAATCAAAGATTGAAGATAATAGAGAATATTCTGTAAATAAGTCATCAAAAAGTAATCGCAATATTATTACTACAACTAATAATAATAATACAAATAAATATAATAATAATAATAATAACAATAATCAAAACAACAAGAAATTGGTGACAAATAATGGTAGTGTTTATACCCGAAGAAAACTTCATTAAAAATATTAATAAAATTTAAAAAAATAATAATTATTGAATTATAATAACAAATTTAATTACAAAACATATCAATCAATATATAATTTGTGATATACTTATTATTATTATCAAAATTATTATTATTATTATCGCATTTTTTGTTTGTTTGTTTAAATATGTTATCAATCAGTTATATTGAACAACAATTTATAAATATTTTTTTTGTAAAAAAAATTATTTTTTTAAAAATTAATTATTATTATTATACTGTACTGTAACTTAATAAGTACTACTTATCATTACTATTATAATATTATTATTAATAATAATAATACTGTAATAATTTCATTTAATTTTTTTTTTGTTGATACAAATTATTAATAAATAGATAAATAAATTTATTTTGAAAAAAAATAAAATAAATATACTGTACATTATTATTTTTATTAAAAATATATTAAAATTAAAAATTTATTTAAAACAATTATGTTGGAAAATTTTGTACATACTGTATATATGTATATATCTATTGTTGAAAAAAACATACATACATTTAAAATATTAAATAATTTTTTTTGTTAGCGGTAATAAATTTTTTTAAAAAAAATTATTATTATATTAGTATGACATTGAATATTATATATATATATATAACAATCACTTAATTACTTAATTAATTTCATGTTTTATTTTGGTGTTGTCTTAATTGATATAAATATTTCAATTTAATAATGAAACTATAATTTATAAATATTTTATATATAATATATTGAAACAAAAAAAACACTAAATATAATAACATTTATTAAATAATATTTTTTTTATAAAAAAATAATATTATATTATTTTAAACAACTAATAGTGTATTTAATATAAAATTAAAATAATGTGTTTTTTAAAAAAAAACACTTATAATAATTACTATAATAAAATCAATTGTTTATTTAGTTTAAAATTGTAAAAAAAATTGCTGATACTTTATATATGACTATGATTTTATTATTATTATTATTATTATACAGTAATAATTTAATTATAATAATAATAATATTTATACAGTATATATGTATAGAAAAATTAAATTAAAACTTAATTAAATTAAATTATATTTTATTATTTTATCTACATTTACACTAATATATTATCCTAAATAAAATTATTGGGGAAAATACTAGTCCAATGGTGACAATGATGTTGTCCACTACTACTACGGGTTTGACATCAGATCCCAGTTTTATGGATATTATCCAAAGTACGGCATTGTTTGCCAGTGAAAACTATTTGTGGCTTAAATCTAATTATAAGTTTCCCGACAATACATTGGATGATCTACGGGAATGTGGCCAACGACTAGCCACTGCCGACTGTATAGCGGTTGTTGTGTTGGCCATCGGCTGGACTATTGGCCGATATTTGACCAGTAAATACATATTTAGGGTATAATTTATGAATAATATTATATATATATATATATATATATATAAATATTTAATCAATAATAATAATAGTTATATTATGTAAAATTATTATTATTAATATTAGCCATTTGCCCAATCGATTGGTTCAAATATTAGAAAATTTTCCGAAAGTTCCTGGAAAGTTTCCTACTATATATTTACCACTACATTTCTCATCTATCTATTGTTTGGTCAAAATTGTTGCCATTATTTTACTGAAACCCAACATATTTGGTCAGGTATTATATATGCCATAAATATATATATATTTCTTATAATTTATATATATATTTATTAGATATATATATATATATATATATATATATTATTTAATATCAATATTTCATTAATTATATTAATTTCTCTCTCTCTTCTCTATATAATCTCTCTGTCTCTCTCTGTCTCTCTTAATTCTCTGTCTCTCTCTGTCTCTCTCTGTCTCTCTCTGTCTCTCTCTGTCTCTCTCTGTCTCTCTCTCTCTCTGTCTCTCTCTGTCTCTCTCTGTCTCTCTCTGTCTCTCTCTGTCTCTCTCTGTCTCTCTCTGTCTCTCTCTGTCTCTCTCTGTCTCTCTCTGTCTCTCTCTGTCTCTCTCTGTCTCTCTCTCTCTCTCTGTCTCTCTCTGTCTCTCTCTGTCTCTCTCTGTCTCTCTGTCTCTCTCTCTCTCTCTCTCTCTCTCTCTCTCTCTCTCTCTCTCTCTCTCTCTCTCTCTCTCTCTCTCTCTCTCTCTCTTAGACTATTCAATGGACGATACGGTACCGACAAACGTACGGTTACTCTATTTAGTGGAAATCAGTTTTTATATACACTCTATATATGCGGTACTTGTGTTGGACGAGTGGAGGAAAGACACATTAGTTATGTTCAGCCATCATATCGTAACACTGGTACTGTTGGCCATATCATTGTTGACTAGGTATACGACAATAATCTATATGAATCCCACCCCTCCTACCCTATCCTCCTAACCCTACCTACTTGTCCCATACGAAATAAACTGTAGACCAGTTTTAGAAATAAATAAAACTAATTTTTATTTTTGTATTGTTGACACACATACCAGTGCCCATAGAGTTGGTCTAATTGTATTACTAACACACGATTCATGCGATATATGGCTAGAATTGGGCAAATGTTTGCTAACAATGAAACACCTGACCGGACTCTATGGACAGTTAGCTAATAAGCTAATTGGTTTGAATTTTATATTATTTGCCACCTCATGGTTAGTAAAAATATTTTTTGTTTGTTATTATTATTATTATAATTATTATATATTAATTACTGTACTTTTTTTTAAAAAACAATTTTTTTTGTTATAATAATAATTAATAGGATTATCTGTCGGTTATATTGGTTTCCATTGAAAGCTATTTATACGAGTGCTGTATATTTTACTGATGAAAATAACCAAAAATTTCCGTTTATGTTACTATTGTTTACAATGCTATGGATTATACTAGCAATGGATATCTACTGGTTTATGGTTTGATTTTAATTATGTTTTTTTTTTTTGAAAAAAAAACTAATATATAATTTATAAATTAATTAATTATTAATTATTATTTATTTACAAATATATATATATATATATAAATGATCTAAAAGTTTGTTTAATATTTTTATTTGTTTGATATTTGTTTTTTCAATAGTTAATAATAAAGGCAACAATAAAAGTAATAATCGGCAAATCATATATTGAAGATCCCAGAGATTTGAAGACATTATCATCAAATGGTTACCACAAAACACATCAATATTAATAATATTAATACTATTAATGGCAACAATAAAAAAAAACATTTTTATTGTAATAGTTATAATATATATATATATAWWTWTATATAGAAAATAATAATTATATATTCAAATTTTTAAATTAATAATATCTATTAACAATAAATTTTATTACTATAGTATAATTATTAGTTAATTATAATGTTATAATTACTATGTGATTATAAAAAAAWATTAAAACTAAAAATAATTAAACTAAAAATTTCTATATTATAATTTTTAATAATTAATAATATATTTAATTTTAAAAAAATAAATAAATAAATGGATATTTGTGATAATAAGTGGGTGATATAATTATTATTATCAAAATTATATTATTAGTATTAGTATTTAAAAAAAAAAATTATTTAAATGTTATCAAACAAACAAAAAATAATAGTTATATTGAACAACAATTTATAATTTTTTTTATATATATCTAGTATATATTACAATTGTTTGAAATTGAAATTTTTTAAAAATTTTTTTAAAAATCTATATTTATATTATAAAGACACGTAATTGTAATAATAGTATATTTATTTTTATTAATTTTTATTAGAATTAATAAATTTTATTTAACTGTATAAATACATTTTTTTTTAAAAAGTATTTTATATTTATAAAAAAAAGTATTGTATACAATTAATAAAATTGTATAAATGCTAATGCAAAAATAAATAAATAAATAAATAAATTATTACAATTACGTGATAATTTATATTGTAAACAAATACTTAAAAAAAACTATATATATATATATATATATATATKCCATATATATATATTATATACTATGTCTGAAACTGTCTGTAATGTATAAGATATAGTTATCTATAAAAGTACTAAAACTACAATTAAAAATAGCGATAAGTTTAGAGACTTTATATACTATTTGTCTAAATTCTATTGTTGTCTAATAAAAAAAAATAGTTCTCTTAATATTTTATTACACTGTAGTAAAAGATCATTTATTTATTTATTATTACTAGGGTTAGATCAGATTCCCTCCCTCGTCTTATTTTCCATAAGTTCCTTATATTCCCTGTTCCTTAGGAATTCCCTGGGAAGACATTTCCTTGTGGTACCACCTATCATACACTAACTCACATTACAGAATGTTTAATTAAAAACACATTTGTATAGTAAATGTCTACAAAATGTATTTAATGTTTTTACTAAATGTTTAATAATATTTGAATCATATTTTGATTGAGTTATTACTAACATACTGGTCCCAATGAAACACAGATTAGGTACTTTTTAATGTATGACAAATTATATTTTCCCTTTCTAACAATCAAGGGAGGAATGTAATATATTTTCCATATTTTCCGGGAAATTTGGAGGGAATTTATTTGGGAACTTCCCTCCCTCGGAATCTCAATCTAACCCTAATTATTACATACATTTATGCTTTGTTATTTAGTATTGTTTGATATTTGTTTCTACAGTGTAACAATATTAACTAAACTAATCTTTTTTATTTACAACAATAAAATTATAGACAATAGTATATAAAGTGTCTAAACTTAACGGTTTTTTTAAATTGTTGTTTTAGTACTTTTATAGATAACTATATCTTATACATTACAGACAGTTTCAAACACAYAGTATGATATATATATATACCTCAGTAATTTTTAAATTATTACTAAATTTAAAAAAAAATTATAATTATAATGATTATAATATTATTAAAACTGTTTTTGACAAAAGTAACTCTCTGTCAATGTTACTGTAGTTTCGGAAACTAAAAAAAAGATATATGTAAATAATTTTTATTTAAATCAATTATATTATTTTTTAAAATTTTTTTATAGGAATTGTTCAAATATTTTAAAACGACATCAGTTCAACAATGGGAATTGAATCCGAATCCGAACACCGGATACACTGACATGTTAAACATATTGAAACAGTTGAAAACGTATTAAGGATGACCATCTCCTCAAAAATAACTCCTTAAAAATCGGTTACTATTACAGAATGTTACCATGGAAACCTTATTTAAAGATTCAAATATTGAAGATGGTACTATTGAAAATGGTGGAGGGGCAATTTTTTGGTTTTGGTTCTTTTGAGTTCAAAAAATATAGATTAATCTACATACATATGAAAGAAGAATCACAAATTTCACTAGATGAAATAAATACTAATAATACCGAAAACCTTTGACAACAATGGACGAGAAAGAGATTTTTTTAAAAAAAAACGATCGAAGTTTCCCAAAAAAAATATAAAAGTACCACCAAACTTCTAAATCGATTATTAGTTCGATGCTCTGATATAATGATAGGCCTGAAAATTTTGAATAATTTAATTTGATAATTTATAGCAGCCCTAGTTGCTTCAATGAGCTGGCTAGTCGTCCTCTGACGATTGTGAGTTCGATTCTTGTTTGGGTAGCGCAGTGTTTATTGTGCGGCACTAATCTTAGTTAAATGCTATGTATACTTTCATTACGTAAGCAACAGTAACTGGAAGAATACCAGTTGTATAACTAGAATCCAATACTCTGTATATAAACATCCGAATTGAATTTGAATTTGTATAATATATCATTAGTTTTATGTTTACTGCAAATCAATATGATTTGCAAAAAATAAATCAATTACCGTTAAATTGTGTGTAAATTCCCATATGGAATATAATGTCTAAGTCATAGGAAATAATGCGAGTTTTCTCCCATATGGAAAAAAATTGTTTTTTTTACTTTGTATAATAAATTAGTGCTTAATTATTACCAAATGTGGTAAATAAGTGCGAGTTTTTTATCATATGAAAATGTTATTTTTCATTTTTTTTTTGTTTTTTGAATTCCATATGGCAAATAAAACACGATTTTACGGTAATTCCTGTAAAATATCAAAATAGTTATCTAAAAACCTTAATATTCGGATCAAAGTTTACACTTGTTTTTTTTAAATGCACATGCACAATATTCAATTAAATATATAAAACATATTGTGTCTATAGTGTGGAAATTTTTCTAGTGTTTAATTTTGTTTTAAAAATTTTTTATATAATTTTTTATATAATTATTAATATTATTTATTTTTAAATATATATATATATATATTACTATTTAAATGATCTAAAAGATTGTTAATATTTTTTGTTTGTTTGATATTTATTTTTCCATTAGTTAATAATAAAGGCAACAATAAAAGTAATAATCGGCAAATCATATATATATTGAAGATCCCAGAGATTTGATGACATTATTATCAAATGGTTACCACAAAAAACATCAATAATAATAATAATAATAATAATATTAATACTATTAATGGCAACAACAAAAAACTTTTTATGGTAATAGTTATTATATATATATATTATATAATAATTATATATTCAAATTTTAATTAATAATATCTATTAACAATATATTAATTAATTTTATTACTAAAGTATAAAAATTAAAAAATAAATAAACAAAATTTCTATATTATAATTTAATAATTAATAATATATTTACCACAAAAAATCAATAATATTATTATTATTATTATTATTAATGGCAATAGTTATATTGAACAACAATTTATAAATATTTTTTTTTATTTATAAAAAAAATCATTAATTTTAATTTAAGTTAAGCATTATATATATTAAAAATTTAAGTAACTTTTTTTTAAAAAAAAATTATTGAAATTTTTTGTTGTTGTTTTCTACTATATATTTAATTAATTAAACATAAAAATTTATGCAAATAAATTTTTTTTAAAAAAAAACATTAATTAAACTAAATTGATAAATTTATTTTTAAAAATGAAAATTATTTAGAAATATAATTGTTTTTTTTTATTGTTTTGTAAATTTTTATTTTATAATCATAACTATTCAAGATAATAAAACAAATTTTAAAAACTAACAGTTTAGGTAACCCCCTCCCTCCCACTCACCCACCCACGCCACCCCCACCCCCCAAAAAACATATAATAATGCGTTTAATCTAAAAAAATAGTAATTAATTTTATTTATTAATAGATTTTTTTTTTATATATAATTATGAAATTGATTTAAATGTTGATAACCAAACTGTCCGCACTTGGCTCCGGCCACCTGACAGCCCATTTTGATGGCATCCTCAACGGATAAGCCGACAACCAGTAGACCAAACAGTGTACCGCTCAGAAAGGTATCGCCGGCTCCGAGTGTGTCGACAACTGAACCCGATTTTGGCGGATAGACTGGCGATCGGTACAGTTGTCCGATACGGTTGTCGTAGGCAACGGCACCCGATTCACCCCACGGACACACTACCAGTGCCCCGGGGTGTAGTCTCGAGGCTATACCGACGGCTGTTTGGTCAGCATCGGTATAGTCGAGTATTTCGCCGGCAAACTCTTTCTCCACAAAATAGATGTCAATATATTTGCCGAAATCTTCGGCGTTGTCCAGCAATTCGGTCAACGGTTTGTAGACTTTTTCCAATTCGACACTTACAGTGATCTCATGATTGACATCCCTGTCCCTAATCTGGGCAATCATTTGCCGTATATTCGGTACATTACGTAGACCTTCGAAATGTATATGCAAATAACGGTCCAACGATTCAGTGATATGATTGGCCATTGATTGGCCGTCCAAATCGGGTAGATTGCGATTAAAGTGGACAATAGTTCGCGAACCGTTTGACTGATTTATGATGACCGTCGATGACGGACACTGTCGGTCCGGGTGGCGGACAATGTTGTCGATTAGGATACCGTTGGCCAGTAGGTCGTCGACGAGGAACCGGGAGGCGTGATCGCCGCCAATGGTTCCCATAAACTCGATCTCGTAGTCGGTAGTATCGGCGGCGGCGGCGGCCGCGGCTGACCTATTGTTTGACGACCACCAATGCAATAGTTGCCGAAAAACTGTACAATTGTTTGACGCATTGCCACCGCGACGCCACTGGCTGTCCAATGCTCGCTGGTCGCTGTCCTCGACGGGAAAGTGTCGGCAAACATAGACAATGTCCAGACAGGTTAGGCCGACAAATAGTAGACGATTGCGCCGACGGTTTGCTAACTGTGCTGACGGTTGTTGTGTCATAATTAGCACACAATTTAAAAAAAAAGTTATATATATTTGTTGTGAAATTAACTTAAAAAAAAACTTAATTAATTAATTGAATAGTTTTATATCAAAAAAAAACTAAAATTATTTTATTAGTTATCATATTTTATTTGGAATTAAATCAATAAATAATTTTTATTAAAAAAATTGTTTTTATCATTATTTTTATTATATATGATATAACTTTATTAATCAAAATATTTAGTTTTTTTTGACACACAGTCTCAAAATTATTATATTATGTTATATTAGATTTCAATATAATATATACAGTATTATAGTTTAATATTTACAATATAGATAATTACAGTATAAATTTTTATTAATAATAAAAAAATGTTATTTATTTAATTTTTTTGATTTTAATTTAATATAACAAAATCATATTTTATAAAAATAAAGTAACCTTGTTTGAAATTGTTTATTATTTTATTTTTGTTGTTGAAAAAAATTACATAAATAAATAAACATACTAAAAACCATGTTTAAAAAATATTTTTAAAAAATTTACCTGTACACTATTTCGACTAATAAATAACGCTATATTATTATTATCAAAATTTTATAATAATTTTAATATTTATAAAATATTTATTATATGATTAATATTAAATAAATATACTTGAATAATTATAATAAATTCTGTAATACATGTTTCATAAAAAAATGTAATTTTTTAAAATCAATATTTATTATTAAAATACTGTAAATAAAACAACAATAATAAAACATTTTTTCCCTCAATAAATTGATTGATAAAAAATTACATTTTTAATTATTATAATAATAATAAGTAATAAAATAATAATAATAATGTTAGTCATTGAACATAACAAAAATACATATATATGATATATATTTTATATTTAAATATCATGTTTAAATAGATATGATTAATACAGTAATATATATATATATATATATAATATATATTTACAATAGTATAGTATATATCAATATATATAACTGCTATTGAATGCAATATATGATATATTATTTAGATATATATATATACTATATATGATATATATATATATAAGTATAGGTGAGGGTCATTGATATCATAATATTAATATATCACTAGATATACCGTTACAATACATATACATACCTAACCTTACAATATATACTGTATATATACTGTAAGTGTATAAACTATGGAAACAGTCATCAAAGTTACTTATTATTGATGGTAACAATAATAATAATAATATATAGATCGTGACCTAGAGTTTTCTCTATTGAAGGCCAGACCTACATTGACATCCCTGTGCGCCATACAGTTGGAGGCCAACGGTGACAGTGCTATACAATAATATACAATATTATACATAAGTACTGATGAGAGAGACCTTCATATTAGTCTATAAGGCCTTCATTGAGACGTCTTTGACATTGAAATCTCAATCCGACGACTCTTTTGCTCCATATATTCGGTTTTTGTGTGGTATGTCTCTCACCAGATATGTAGGCAATGAATGAGAGAGAGAGAGAGAGAGAGAGCGAGAGAGAGAGCGAGAGAGAGAGAGAGCGAGAGAGAGAGAGAGAGCGAGAGAGAGAGAGAGCGAGAGAGAGAGAGAGAGAGAGAGAGAGAATTTTATATAGAATTGTATGCAATTTATTGATTGTTTTTTTTATTAAGTAGTATAAGTGTGTGTATGTATGTAAGTGTGAGGGTTGTCAGTCACATACCGGTGCTCAGACATACATACATACAGTATAATGGAATAGTCTAACTAATAATAATAATAATAATAATGATTTTTGCCTATTTCTCACATACATACACATACATACACACACATACACACACACACACACACACACACACACACACACACCATATATCACACATACAGTAGTACTATATACTGTATATATAAGTAATAGTATATGTAGTTTACTATAGTTGTGTTGATTGTATAATTCATTTTGCATTCAATAGGTATGGTAGGTATTTATTTGATTTTTTTACACCACAAAAACAGTTAGTTATATCATATATATATATATATTCTTAGGTATGTCTAAAAAAAAGTACAGGTACTGTATATCTTAATACTACTGTAATGTACATGTTAATTTTTCAATAATAATAATAATAATTTTATCATTAGAAATCTGAAAAAAATTGATTTAAATTAAATCAAGTTTGTATATTATAAATATTTAATTAGTATATACTATTTATTTTTAAATAGTTAAAAAATATATATTATTTATTATATAGCTATTATATAGCTATTATATATTATTATTAATAATTATATCTATCACTGTTTAATAAATAAAATAAAAAAATAGTTTATCTATAAAATTAACATTAAAATTAGTTTTCATAGCATTTTTTACTGCTATGATCTAATAATAGACTATTAATAGTAAAATGTAATTTTTATTATACATTTATAATAAAATAAATTTAATTCATAAAAGCTATATTATATTTAATTTTGTTATGTTATGTTAAATATTTAAATTTTTTTAGTAAACATTACTATTTTTATTAAACTTTTTTTTGTATTTAGTAAAATACTGTACTTAAATAATATACATATTTATAAGTAGCTATTATTATTAGTATTATTAAATAATTAATATAATTACTGATATAATATATATAAATTATATAAATATATTTTTTTTAATTTTAGAAATTGTTATAATTAAATGTCTTAATTATATTAAATTAATAGACACATTATAATACATTAAATAAATAAATATAATGTTTAAATTTTTATATGACATATAATTTATATATACAGTATATATACTGTATAATGTATCAATTACTAAAGATATAACTTAAAATTTATATATAAATATAATAAAGTATTTATAAAAAATTTATTTTTTTAATATATTTATGTGAATTTAATTTTTGACAAATTGTCAATTACAAAAATTAACCCTATTACTATTATAATTACAATTATAATAATGATAATGATTATAATGTACAAGTATACTATAATATTAATACAATTAAATATTATTATAGTTATTAAATATAAATTTTATATATATTAAATATAATTAAAAAAATAAAAACTGTTGTAATTACTGGTTGTAATTATTAAAATAACATTATATTTAAAAATAAATAAATAAAATAATGATAGATATATAATGATCTAAAAATGTAATTTAATAATAATTAAAAAATCATTTTAATATTGTTTTGCGAAATAGTAATTTGGTATATAATTACAATTAATTGTATACATATAGATATATGTGATTTTTATTTTGTTTGTTAATTTTAGTATATATGATATGACACATAAAATAATTAAAACTATATATATATAACTACTAGTAATTTACTATATTAGTTAGTTATGAAATTAAAAACATACACACATACACATACATACACACACTCATATACACACATACATATACACACATACATATACACATATACATATACACACATACATATACACACATACATACACACACATATATACATGCACACACACACACACACACACACACACACATACATACATACATACATACATACATACATACACACACACAAAATCATCGTATTATGCAATTTTCAATAACAATTGTTTTTTTTCTAACAAAAAAACTAAATATTACAACAAATACAATATAATGTATTACTATGTAAAACAAAATTATTTATATTAATACTGTAATTAGCAGCTATTATTGTCGTGTTATTACTTTTACATTAATCATAATTACAAGTATTCAACAAAACATCAAACAACAAAAAATTTCTAATTATTAATTTGATTTTATTAGGGAAAACGGGATATTTTTATTACTAGTAGTATTAGTAGTAATAGTATTAACATTACTATTACTACTGTATTATTATTATTATTATAACAATAGCAGCTATTATATACAGTATATATATGATATATGCAATAGTATTATTAAAATATATACAATAGAAAATAATACATTATATATATATTTTTATTTATTTATTTTTTTTAAATAAAATATTATTTAATTTATATACATATATATAAATAAATTTCAAGTGTATATATCTAGTAAATTATGATTGTCTACAATAATAATAATAATAATAATAAATTACAACATCTAAGTTGTCAAACAATGTAATACATGTATTATTATTATTATTAATAAAAGACACATATATTTTCCCAAAAAAATTTATTATTATTATTATTAAATTACAAATACATAAAATATGATTTGATAATGATTTTTTTGGTTGTATTATTAAATATTTTTTTTATATATAATATAAAGTTATTATAAGATTATATGACTCTTCAAATTCTCATCAAATATCATCAACAAAAAAAATAATAATTATTTTTTTTTATATACAGTATATATATATTATATATAAATATATATTTATAATAGAAATTTTCATTCATTCATTCATTTATTTATTTATTTAAAGTTTATTTAAAGTTTCATATATTTGTATTAAAATATTTTATTATTTTTTTATATATTTTTTTTATTAAAAAATGCTATTATATATTCTCATATTTTACAATAATATTTATTAATATATATTTGTTAAAAACATTTAACATTTTCTAGTTATTTGTTTTTTAGTTTTTCGGCATAACATCTATCAATAAATATATTTATTATTATTTTTAATTAAATAAATATTTAATTATCTATCTAGTTAATTAATTAATTAATTAATATATATGGATTGGCCAATTGATCAACTATATGGACTATTAAATTATATATACCAGAGGATCGGTTATCTATTTTATTTGGTCGATCCTCGGCAGTGTATGTTTGAACATGTCTATCAAGTGCCCCGTTATGTTGAGGAGGTGTGTGTGTTTGTTTGGTGTCTATCCATCAATAAAATAAATATCTATCTATATATATGTAACCTATATTTTCCCGCTCTCTCTCAGATGTTTCCCGTATTCATAGCACTGGCCATTGCCGAAAACGGCCTACGATTAGTTAAAGGCAAACCAATTTACCGATTTAACGATACAATAGCATCGGTAGGTCAGGGCATATTTCAGGAGTGTGTCCGGTAAGTCTATCTACTAGTGCTAGTAGTAATAGTAGTATAAGTAGTAGTTTGTTAATCAATTTTTTAAAAATAATTTTTCTAATATATATATATATATATAGATTAAAATTGCGAAGTTTTGAGGTACTGGTCTACTGTATGGTTTGGGACAACTATAGGCTACTGTCGATGCCCTGGGACTCACTAACTACTTGGTTACTATGTTTTTTGGGTGTCGATCTCGGTTTCTATATATTTCATCGCATTTCACACGGTTTGTTAAATATATATATCTATAAATTTTTGGTGGGGGTGTGGGAGCGGGTAATTAAACTAATTTTTTAAAAATGTATTTAATTTTGTTTAATAGTCAGATTTTTCTATTTTCTAATAAATTATTTATTTAATTTAATATTAATAATAAAAAAAAAAAATAATATACATGCAAATAAATTATAGTAAATGGGTATAATTAATTGATAGGACAGTGTGTTATATATATAATAATAATAATAATAATAATAAATATTCTAGCTAGTACAATTGTCAAKTGATAAAATTAATGMTGATTTATATTTTTTAAATAAAATTATTTAACTTTTATCTACAATAATTTTATTATAAAAAAAATAATAAATCAATCAATTTATTTATAGTGACTAAAAATTRGTTACAAAAATTTWAAGTTAAATATTMTCTCTCTCTCTCTCTCTCTCTCTCTCTCTCTCTCTCTCTCTCTCTCTCTCTCTCTCTCTCTCTCWATGAAAATATTATCTTTTATGACARTTWATTTTACTAATTTAAAATTWAAAAAATATGTAWTTTATATTATTAATATGTAACTKTTGGTATACCCTAATTAATACTACTTTATACTRTATATATATATATATATATATATATATATATATATAGAGGTAAACATTATATGGGCCGTACATCAGGCACATCATAGTGCCGAGGATTTTACAATGATATCGGCGCTCAGGCAGGCAGTACTGCAACCGTTTACAGCCTGGGTATGTATATATATATGTGTGTGTGTGTGTGTGCGCGCGCTAAACATATGTATGAAAACCTACCTGTGCTTACTATTTCTATATACTATATATRWATTATAACTGTACAGTATCTTATAATCAATATAATTAATGAGTGTGTGTGTGCATAATTATGATAATAACCTAGCTCAAATTTTTTTACTAATTAAATACTTAACTATTATCTAATCTAACTGTCCTCACCCCATCCTCCATACATCCTCTGTCACCCACCCATACTATCACCCGCCGCCCATCCCCTCCTCACCCGACCAATAGTTTGCATACCTACCGATGGCACTGTTTATACCGCCATCAATATTCCTGACGCACCTACAGCTCAGCGAAATCTATATGATTTGGATACATACGGAAGCTATCGGATCGTTGGGTCCACTAGAATGGCTGCTGAACACACCCAGCCATCATCGGGTACATCACGGTATGTATACATACACCCCCTTTGTTCCCCAGTGTGTGTGTATGTATGTATACATACACACACACACACTGGGTAAAGGGTGGTGGGGTGTTAAATACCTATAATAAGCTAACTGTGCTGCCGTTAACTACACACACACACTACCATAGGCCGTAACCGACCGTACATTGACAAGAACTACGGCGGAACACTGATAATCTGGGACCGACTGTTCGGTACATTTCAATCGGAGGACACGGTAGGCGAACCGGTTGTCTACGGACTCGTACATCCCGTTCAATCGTATAATCCGTTTTATCTACAATTTCATCATTGGATCCGAATTGGCCAATCAGTATTCAGGGCGGAAAACTGGTCAAATCGTTTTGGCCATTTRTTTTACGGTCCCGGTTGGTCACCGGGTAAACCTAGACTAGGCTTAGCCACGGATGTACCGCTTATCGATCATCCGGTTGAGTACTGGTCGCCAGCGATACCTTTCTGGCAAAATGTCTATACAATTGTACACTTTTTGTTAATACTCGGCTATTACTATACGGTAGCCGATGGGCACCGGCAGCTCTCGCAACAAACCATTAGCTACTGTATAGTCGTATTGCTTGTGTCGTTGACAACCATTGGTCTACTACTGGAAAATAGTCGATTTGGTCTACACCTGGAACTCGGTCGGTGTCTATTGTTTTTATGTCTATACCAACAACACCTGATGGTCATACCTGTCCTCAACACGACTGTACAGTCACTGGTTGACAATATATTCATATATTGTTTTACCGGTTCGGCTATTTTATTGGCGCTGATGATTATAGCCAATCAATTCATAGCTACTACTAAACAATTTGATAAAATTTCCAGAAATTTTCGTACAAATTTTCGTGCAATAATATTATCATTGAATGATAATAATAGTGATACTAATAATAATAATATTATTATTGMTAATAATAATAAAAGTTWKAATTTTGTTGATAATTATAATAATTTACTAAATAATTATATTAAACAAACTAATAAAAAAATTGCATAAATGTGATTGTTAAATATACAATATTTTAATAGTACAAAATTTTTTTTTTAAATATATGATTATATAAAAAAAATTAACTTTAAGTTAGATGATTGATTTTTTGTTATGTTTTTTTATAATTTTTTTATAATAATTTGTTGTTAATTTTTAGTTTTAATTTATTAAAAAATTATTAGTAATAAATTTATTGAAAACAAAAATAAAATAATATAGTATTTAAATTATTAAATTATTTTATATAATTATTTAATAATTTACACATTAATTAATTATCTATATAATTTAAGAAAATTTTATTTTTTAATTTTTAATTTATTATTATTATAAAATTTCTACAACAACAACAAATAAATTTAAAAAATCGTTATAATTTAATATATTAATAAATTTTTTTAAAAAATTTTATGTGGGATACAAACAATTATTATTTCTCTACTATAAATATTTTCTAAATAAAACAATTAAAATATTTATTTTATAGTAATTTTTTATATWTATATTAAATAAACTATAACTTAAATACTGTATTTTATTATTTTTTTATTAAATACTAAAAACAACCTTGATCAGAGCAATCATTACTGCAACAATCAATACCTGTTTTACATGAATCACCCGGAAAACCGCATGCTAAATTTTACAACAACAAAAAACGTAAAATTTTAGATAAATATTAAAATTTTAATAACAWCAACAAAAACATGATAATAAAAATAAAATAAATTAGATACCTTGCACCATGATTGCATTATTATTATTATTAATAATAATTGATTGCATGATAAACATTAGAAATAAAACCAAATTGTAAATTAACCATGATAGATTTGAACATGATTATTTTTTGATTATATTAATTGACTTTTTTTAATTGCTAAATATTTTTTTAATATAAAATTAAATATAAATAATTTCTATAAATTAAACATGCTTGTTTATATAGTTTAATATTAAAATAAAAATTCTAGCAATGTAATTAAATGTCAATCACATATAAAAATTATTATTTATTTTTTTTAAATAATATATATAGTGTTTTTGACATAAAAAAAAGTGATAAGACAATTTAAAAAAAAATATTTTATAAATAATTTATTAATTGTACTTGTACGTTTTTTTCAATAATTATGATAAATATACTTATATTATATAAGTTTTTAATAAACATAATTGATTACTAATTTATTGTTATATTATATTTAGTGTTAAAATACTTTAGAAGTTAAAATACTATTAAGCTTAATATTATTTTTAGTAAACTTAGCAAAAATATAATTRCTAATATAATTAATAATTTTAATAATAGTTTCATAAATATTGTTTTCTACATATATATATTTTTAAAAATTATTTATTTATTTTTATTTATTACAATAAAATGATCTTTTAAAATGAGCTGACACGTGTTTTGGCAATTTTTAAAATATTAATTAGTTTTTTTTAAAAAATAACTTTTTTTTATTAAAAAATGAAAATTTCAAAATCTCATAAAATAAAAATGTCAAGGTATTTTATATTTTTGTTAATTTTTAATAAATTCTATATTTAATATARAATAATTCACTYTTTTAGTTTTAAAAAATATTCAMACATAATAAATTTTATAAAAAAAATTATAACACAATACAGTCTAAAGTTATCATGATAGTTTTGAACATGATTATTTTGTTTGTTTTTGTTTTGTTTTATTGTAATTTACTTTATTATTTTATAAGTTAAATAGTTTTTTAAATATAAATAATTTTTTATTTAAAAAAAAATAATATTAAATAATTTTGTAAATAAAACAACTTTGAGATATTTAATTTTATAATAATTTTTTTCTATAGATATATATATATATATAAACTATAACTTAAATACTGTATTTTGTATTTTTTTTAATAATAATAATAATAATTACTAAAAACAACCTTGAGCATCGCAACCATTAGTGCAACACTCAGCAGCTGTATTACATGGATCACCCGGAAAACCGCATGCTAAATTTTACAAAAAAAAACGTAAAATTTTAGATAAAAATTAAAATTTTAATATCAACAACAAAAACATGATAATAAAACTAAAATATATTTATTTAGAAATATAAAATAAATTAGTTACCTTGCACCATGATTGCATTATTATTATTAATAATAATTGATTGCATGATAAACATTAGAAATAAAACCAATTGTAAATTGACCATGATAGATTTGAACATGATTATTTTTTGTTTTGTTTATTGTAATTCACCTATTTTAATGTAAAATTTAATATAAATAATTTCTATAGACTAAACAAGCTTGTTTATATAGTTTTCAATAAAAATAAAAATTCTAGCAATGTAATTGAATGTCAATCACAAATAAAAATTATTTTTTTTTGAAATAATATATAGTGTTTTTGACATAGAAAAAAAGTGACAAGACAATTTTTAAAAAAAAATATTTTATAAATAATTTATTAATTGTACTTGTACGTTTTTTTCAATAATTATAATAAATATATACTTATACTATATAAGTTTTTAATGAACATTAATGATTACTTTTATTTTTATATTTAAATTTAATGATAGTTTCATAAATATTGTTTTCTATATATATATATATATATAAATAATTTATGATTTTTTATTTATTGCTATAAATTTTTTATATTATTTGTTGTTAATTTATTAAGTTTTAAATTATTAAAAATATATTAGTAATAAATTTATTGAAAACAAAAATAAAATAATACAGTATTTTTATATAGTTATATAATAATTTACAAAAATTAATTAATTACATATATATAGACCGCATGCTAAATTTTACAAAAAAAAACGTAAAATTTTAGATAAAAATTAAAATTTTAATATCAACAACGTTGTTAACAAAAACATGATAATAAAACTAAAATATATTTATTTAGAAATATAAAATAAATTAGTTACCTTGCACCATGATTGCATTATTGTTATTAATAATAATTGATTGCATGATAAACATTAGAAATAAAACCAATTGTAAATTGACCATGATAGTTTTGAACATGATTATTTTTTGTTTTGTTTATATTAATTCACTTTTTTATATAATTATAAAATTTTTATAGATTAAACAAGCTTGTTTATATAGTTTTCAATTAAAATAAAAATTCTAGCAATGTAATTAAATGTCAATCACAAATAAAAATTATTTATTTTTTTGAAATAATATATAGTGTTTTTGACTTAGAAAAAAAGTGACAAGACAATTAAAAAAAAAATTTTTTTTATAAATAATTTATTAATTGTACTTGTACGTTTTTTTCAATAATTATAATAAATATATACTTATACTATATAAGTTTTTTAATGAACATTAATGATTACTTTTATTTTTATATTTATATTTAAATTTAATGATAGTTTCATAAATATTGTTTTCTATATATATATATATATATATATATATATATATAAATAATTTATGATTTTTTATTTATTGCTATAAATTTTTTATATTATTTGTTGTTAATTTATTAAGTTTTAAATTATTTAAAATATATTAGTAATAAATTTATTGAAAACAAAAATTAAACCAGTTGAGAATGCTAGAAAGCATTATCTAAAACAAATTTTTTCTTGCGTAAATTACATATTATGGTCATATTATAATCAAAATATTAATTCCTGTAATCATTTTATATGAGTAAACTAAACTATTAATTGACAATTTTCATGATAAAGTATTTATATTGAAACTATATATTTATGGCGATGCAATATTTATGATGCAAAATTTATGATGCAATATCTATGATGCAATATTTATGATGCAATATCTATGATGCAATATTTATGATTAAATATTTATGATGCAATATTTATGATTAAATATTTATGATGCAATATTTATGATTAAATATTTATGATGCAATATTTATGATTAAATATTTATGATTAAATATTTATGATGAAATATTATATGCTGATGCGTTATTTATGGTGATCCAATATCTATTGTGAAGCAATAATTATGCTGATGCAATATATATGGTGATGCAATATCAATGGTTATGCATTATTTTTTTAACTTATTATTCTAATTAACTGTATTTAGATTTTTAACTTAAATTTTGACAACAAACTAATTTTTAAAAATTTATCCGCCATTTTTTTTTGTTCCTGAAGAGATATCAAAATTTTAATTCTAATTTCTATAACTTACTTTTGATGCTTTATTCAAATCTAAACTTTAAAATTTTTAGTACTTTTGCCGCCATTTTCTCTATGTTCCCGAAGAAATATCAAAATTTTAATGCTGATCCTCTATACCTTATTTTCGATTATCTAACCGAATCTAAAATAAGAATTTCAAAATTCGATCCTTGAAAACCAACACACACACTACACACACACATATAGAATTCATAAAACAAATTTGAAAAATTTGTTTGAAAATAATACAGTATTTTTATATAGTTATATAATAATTTACAAAAATTAATTAATTACATATATAGAAATTGTATTTTTTAATTAATCTATTATTATTTTAAAATTTCAACAACAACATCAACATCAAATAAAATACAATAAGCATTATAATATAATATATTAATTAATTAAAAAAACAAAACTTTTAAGTCGTATACAAACAATTATTTAAAAAAAATAAATTCAAAATAAAACAATACAAATATTTATTTTATAATAATTTTTTTATATAAAACAAATATAAGAAAATAATATAGTATTTAAATTATTTTATATAATTATTTAATAATTTATACATTATCTATATAAGGAAATTTTATTTTTTAAGTTTTTATTTATTATTATTTTAAAAATTCTACAACAACAAATAAAAATTTTTAAAAATTGTTATAATATTATAATTATTTAATTAATTTTAAAAAAAACAATAATTTTATGTGGTGTACAAACAATTATTATTATTTTTTACAATAAATAATTTCTAAATAAAACAATATTTTATAATAATTTTTTTAGATATATAAAAAACTATAAATTAAATACTGTATTTTGTATTTTTTTTAATAATAATAATAATAATAACTAACTACAACYTTGAGCATCGCAACTATAACTGCAACACTCAGCATCTGAATTACATGAAACACCATGTAAACCGCATGCTAAATTTTACAAAAAAAAACGTAAAATTTTAGATAAAAATTAAAATTTTAATATCAACAACGTTGTTAACAAAAACATGATAATAAAACTAAAATATATTTATTTAGAAATATAAAATAAATTAGTTACCTTGCACCATGATTGCATTATTATTATTAATAATAATTGATTGCATGATAAACATTAGAAATAAAACCAATTGTAAATTGATCATGATAGTTTTGAACATGATTATTTTTTGTTTTGTTTATATTAATTCACTTTTTTATATAATTATAAAATTTTTATATAAATAATTTTTATAGATTAAACAAGCTTGTTTATATAGTTTTCAATTAAAATAAAAATTATAGCAATGTAATTAAATGTCAATCACAAATAAAAATTATTTATTTTTTTTGAAATAATATATAGTGTTTTTGACTTAGAAAAAAAGTGACAAGACAATTAAAAAAAAAATTTTTTTTTATAAATAATTTATTAATTGTACTTGTACGTTTTTTTCAATAATTATAATAAATATATACTTATACTATATAAGTTTTTTAATGAACATTAATGATTACTTTTATTTTTATATTTATATTTAAATTTAATGATACTTTCATAAATATTGTTTTCTATATATATATATATATATATATATATATATATATATATATATATATATATATATATATATATATATATAAATAATTTATGATTTTTTATTTATTGCTATAAATTTTTTATATATATTATTTGTTGTTAATTTATTAAGTTTTAAATTATTTAAAATATATTAGTAATAAATTTATTGAAAACAAAAATTAAACCAGTTGAGAATGCTAGAAAGCATTATCTAAAACAAATTTTTTCTTGTGTAAATTACATATTATGGTCATATTATAATCAAAATATTAATTCCTGTAATCATTTTATATGAGTAAACTAAACTATTAATTGACAATTTTCATGATAAAGTATTTATATTGAAACTATATATTTATGGCGATGCAATATTTATGATGCAAAATTTATGATGCAATATCTATGATGCAATATTTATGATGCAATATCTATGATGCAATATTTATGATGCAATATCTATGATGCAATATTTATGATTAAATATTTATGATGCAATATTTATGATTAAATATTTATGATTAAATATTTATGATGCAATATTTATGATTAAATATTTATGATGCAATATTTATGATTAAATATTTATGATGCAATATTTATGATTAAATATTTATGATGAAATATTATATGCTGATGCGTTATTTATGGTGATCCAATATCTATTGTGAAGCAATAATTATGCTGATGCAATATATATATGGTGATGCAATATCAATGGTTATGCATTATTTTTTAACTTATTATTCTAATTAACTGTATTTAGATTTTTAACTTAAATTTTGACAACAAACTAATTTTTAAAAATTTATCCGCCATTTTTTTTGTTCCTGAAGAGATATCAAAATTTTAATTCTAATTTCTATAACTTACTTTTGATGCTTTATTCAAATCTAAACTTTAAAATTTTTAGTACTTTTGCCGCCATTTTCTCTATGTTCCCGAAGAAATATCAAAATTTTAATGCTGATCCTCTATACCTTATTTTCGATTATCTAACCGAATCTAAAATAAGAATTTCAAAATTCGATCCTTGAAAACCAACACACACATTACACACACACATATAGAATTCATAAAACAAATTTGAAAAATTTGTTTGAAAATAATACAGTATTTTTATATAGTTATATAATAATTTACAAAAATTAATTAATTACATATATAGAAATTGTATTTTTTAATTAATCTATTATTATTTTAAAATTTCAACAACAACATCAACATCAAATAAAATACAATAAGCATTATAATATAATATATTAATTAATTAAAAAAACAAAACTTTTAAGTCGTATACAAACAATTATTTAAAAAAAATAAATTCAAAATAAAACAATAAAAATATTTATTTTATAATAATTTTTTTATATAAAACAAATATAAGAAAATAATATAGTATTTAAATTATTTTATATAATTATTTAATAATTTATACATTATCTATATAAGGAAATTTTATTTTTTAAGTTTTTATTTATTATTATTTTAAAAATTCTACAACAACAAATAAAAATTTTTAAAAATTGTTATAATATTATA